GGAAAACGAAGCGGTCAACAGTCAATGATTCAGACGAACCGAGGACTGTGTGACCACTAAGGCATTTGTTGCAAAAAGCAAACACCTACACAACGTGGAGGCTCGGCAGTGAGGCCTATGATGCAAAGCCGTCAACTAGCCGCGACATCGCGGTGCGGTTTGAGCACAAGAGAAGTCTAGTTTCCGTGGCGGCAGATGACAACATCATGCCAGCGCTGCGGAATGACGGTGAGTCAACGGCCGGCAGTGAGGCCTGTGACCTGGGGCCCTCAACTAGCCGCGACAATGCGGTGAGGTGCTTCCGCTACACCAACATTATTTGTTGTGGTAACAGCTGAACCTATCTTGCTTTGTGCAGAGATGAGGTGTGCAGCTTTATACCACTGATCGAAAAAGACTGCGTGAACCATGTGCAGAAAATAATGGTCACCGCTTTTCGCATATTGGTGGTATGAGCAAAGAATGGGAAGCCATTAGTTGACAGGGGTGGACGGATGCAGGAGTTGATGAAAGAACTGACCAGCTACTACGGGTTAGTCTTGCGAAAACACACAAGCATCAGTGACATGCAAAGGGCCGTGATGGCCACTTTTACTACATCTCGTCTACCGATGACAAGCCTCACCGTAAGCTCTGCCCACCTGGCTTTGACAGCTGGTGTAAACATCGTTCCGCACCACCTCTTAAGTATGGCCTGTCGAAACATGTACCGGAGGCTCTGTTGCCTCCGCTACATGTCTCTCTGACCCGCAGCTGCTGGAGCAATGCAAAGGCAACTAAACGCAGAATGTAGCGGAAAGCTTGCATTTAGTCATCTGGTCACTGACATGAAAGGATCAGCGCGCTGCATTTTTGCACGCTGATGTGCACTTGAACATTGATCTTAACTTGAACATTGCAAAAGAAGTTCCAACTTAAAATTTACACATGCAAATGTTCAGCACACCATAGCTTCATTCCAAATGAGTTAAGAACATTTTTTACGAACAACAGTAATCACACTCTGGTGTTGACCTGCTTTTTGTGCAGACTCAGCGTGCAGCAGTGAAAACTGCTGTACATGAAGCAGTTGCACGGTACAATTTCGGGAATTTACGAGCCTACCCTAAAATGTGCAAGTCTGAGGGCATCAAAACTGCTAGCCTCGCCCTTCGAAAAGTTGAAGAAAAGGACAAACAAAAAACGAAAGGCACGCATTGCAGAAAATATTATAGAGCAGAGACGTAAGAAGACCCCGCAAGCAAGGACACAAAGTGGTACAGTCCCAAGGCATTTTGATGGGCCTTTACGGACCGTTCAACTAAACGCCAGTTTTCTGAGAAGTGTGTTTTGACCCGACTGTCCAGCTTGCTACGATGCTGCCATGACTAGGGTTTGACGGATTTTCATGTGTTTTTTTTTTTTTTCATTGTGTTTCTCAGTGAATTTTCTATCTCGTGACATTTCCATATTTGTTAATTACTATCTCTTTTTTTTTTTACCCCTAAGCTAAATTCACGTTACGATAACGACTGAATTTACAAGCATGTATACAACGTTCTTTGTAAAATAAAAACAGTCATAAAAGATATTTGCAGAACCTCATATCCCCCTTGCTAAAATATAAGAGCAACTATAGGCTTCTACTGTTTTTTTTTTTTTTTTTTTTTTGTCACACCAGGTTTTAGACACGTTTGGTAATACAGCTATACATAAAAAAGTTTATAATTCCAGAACAACTACTTGAGATAGCCAAACGAAACTTTGTCATTTATTATTCAGTGCAGTTTCCGATGAGCATGCCTAATTTCATTGCTCTAAGACAAACACTAAATAATTTCACCTTCAATCCCCATCTTCTTCCCTCAATAAAAGAACTCAAGGCACACATAATATATTTTCCGACAACGCGGGCATGAAGGATACACCCGGCTGGTTACAGGAGGCTCTAGGCAAAGATCTTACATCAACAGTATGATTAAAAAAACGTACATTTTAAGGCAAACAGGACAAAATATGGCTGACTAACACAATCACTACCATATCTCTTAATGAAAAAAATGACTGCATTTCAAGCTGCTTGAAGATAATTATGGGGCGAAGCTTTCGGAGGTGATTATTGTGATTAAAGTTGAGATAGTACTGAGACTGATTGTGGTTGTGATACTTATATACCTTTTTTATTCAAAGAGATAGTGCTGAGACCGATTGCGATATAGCGGTGATTCTTCTTTATAGCTGATATGAGGTTTCGAGTTCCGGGTTACGTTTTGACTTCATAATCACAGCTTCATTAGCTATCGTCTCTGGTGTAGAATTTTCTTGTCAGTATTGCCGCCTTGCATCTGCTTCAAGTTGTCTCAACTGCGCGTCAGCTTGGCGTTTTTCCCGCTTAGCCTTTGATTCCTTAGCCCTAGCCTTAGCCCTAGTGGTGTAGAACTTTGTTGTCGCCGTCTCCGCTTTGCATACGCTTCCTTTTCTTTTGTCTCCGCGGTAGGTTCCCGCCGACGGTGACGCTGATACTCAGCACGTCGCGCTTTCCTGCGTTCGTCTTTGTCCATATGAGAGAAGAGAATGCGTGGTATGAAACGTGGTTATATATATTGTAGGCATTCATTAAGCACATCTACTATCTTTACACATATTCATCATCATGAGTGGTTGTCATCTTCATCTGTTGTGAGCACTTGGCTTGTCTGAGTTCTGTGCCTTGGGCGTTGTCACTTCATCGTGTCTTCTGGGCCTAATAAAGGTTGCCTTCACCGTTACATCACAATATATATAGCGTTGACAGCAGCGCCATCACATCTAGAATTAACCACAGCGCCCTCTGTTACTTATAAGTTGAAGGTTACATGCAAAACGGTTACCACAAATGCCCTCTGTTGCTTATAAGTTGAAGGTTACATGGAAAATGGTTCAGAAATGTCAGACGGATGAAGACGTGTTACGGACAGACGGGAGACGGCGGACATCGTGAGGTCTTAAGGAGCTTCGCCCTTAAAAGGCTTCCTAATGTTCACGTGCTTTTCTATCTTTACTCCTACTCAGGATCTTGACCTCTTGAAACCTTGGAGAACATGTGCAGGACTCGCAATGTGTAGAAATGTGTGCATTCATGTCCTTCTTCAAATTATTTGCGTGCTCCCTCATTCTGTCATTGACACACTGACCAGTATGCCCTACGTAGCACTTGCCGCACGACAGCATTGCCCCTGTGGCGCAACCCACATATGTTTTGGCATGTTTAACTTGGCAGCCTTTCAAATGCCTGCCCATTATTTGGGGACACGATTGAGCTAGCCTATTACGAGCAGTAAAAAAGCCACAGTTCGCCAAAAGGGTGAAGCAATGAATGGAAAAGAACATATTTGAATGTTTTATAAAGCAAAACTAGCATATTTAGGGGGCAATCTTAATTGTAATGAACATGCGCTTGCTAAGTAACCAAGTTTCCTGCGGTGTGTCACAATAGATGATCACAACAAGGCTCGTGCGTAGTGACGGCGTTGATGACAAGCGCCTCCCGTGGGCAGCACATGTTGGTACAGTTCATGTTGAGAGCGCAGCCCGTAAAAGCTCCCACCTCCTGTGGGGACAAGAGACATGTGTTGATCGTTGCCGCGATACCGCGACAACCATGAGGCCTCTCCCCCTCCACCCCTGTTCGCTCCCAAGGTAAGCAGAGACCCCGGCTGGAAAGGCAATATTCGCTCTGCAGAAAAAAGAGGCTAGTGCATCCTTTCCTATATATATATATATATATATATATATATATATTAGAAGAATAAGAATGGGGTGGAGCACATTCGGCAAGCACTCTCAAATTATGACAAGTAGATTGCCACTATCCCTCAAGAGGAAGGTATATAACAGCTGTATCTTGCCGGTACTTAGCTACGGAGCAGAACCTGCAGACTTACAAAGAGGGTTCAGCTTAAATTGAGGACGACGCAGCGAGCAATGGAAAGAAAAATGGTAGGTGTAACCTTAAGAGACAAGAAGAGAGCAGAGTTGATTAGGGGACAAACGGGGGTTAAGGATATTATAGTTGAAATAAAGAAGAGGAAATGGACATGGGCCGGGCATGTAGTGCGTAGACAGAATAACCGCTGGTCATTAAGGGTAACTAACTGGATTCCCAGAGAAGGGAAGCGGGTTAGGGGGAGACAGAAGGTTAGGTGGGCAGATGAGATTAAGAAGTTTGCGGGTGTAAATTGGCAGCAGCAAGCACAGGACCGGGTTAACTGGCGGAACATGGGAGAGGCCTTTGTCCTGCAGTGGACGTAGTCAGGCTGATGATGATATATATATATATATATATATATATATATATATATATATATATATATATATATATATATATATATATATATAATGTATACAGTTAAACCGGGATATAAGGAAGTTGATAAATTCCTGGAAAATTTCGTTATAAAGAGAATTTCGTTATATCCAGGTTCGGTCCGAAAGTTTGGAAAATAAACAAAAAGGCGTGGGAAAGCACGTGCGCCCAGCCACCTTCTCTCTTTTACGGCAGCGCGAAAGCCTAGTTGCGGAAACACCCCCACGGCTGGCGCTCTATATCCCTCTTTCCCGGCGCGCAGAACGGGTCTCCCCTTTCTCAGCGAGAACAGGTATTATTCTCGTTAGGGAGAGGGAAACTGGGTCAATGAACAAAACTAGTGTGCGGACAGCGGCACGCCCTCTGACACCGGCCAAAAACGGAGGTTGAACCCGCAACCACCTGCGAGCCGAGGACGTCAACGACCAAGAAGTAAGCGTCTACCCTTGTGTTTCGTACCATCTCCTCGCGAAATTTATGCGCTATTGGTAACGCCTTGCAATAAAGTGTTGTTGTTGACCTAGCCTGTTGCTTTATTCACCCAAACCCGTGTATAGCTGCAATGAGACTAGCTACGGTTAGGGGACTTTAATCGTGCACGGTACAACTGTGTGCGGCTGAAACATTAGTTAGGCTTCTGCTTCAGCTGTACATGGGACAGACCCCCTACATCTGGTGCCCAACGTGGGGCTCGAACCCGCAACCCTGAGATTAGGAGTCTCATGCTCTACCAACTGAGCCAGCCGGGCAGACGAAGTTGCATTTGTGAAGACTGACCTCATGGCGCTCACGTGGTTGAGGCGCTTGATCAAACCAAGTGGCCGCCTGGCGCGTCGAGAATTGCTGCTGCAGTGGTACGACTTGACCATTCGCAAGGGTAAGAACAATGCCGCAGCTGATGCACTATCGCGTGCTTCAGTCCAACACTAGGCAAGTCACGCGACTAATTTTGAACGAGCTGAGAGCGAGACACTTGCGCTAACGCAAACAGCGGAGCAAACGTTAGTTCGAGGTGAGAGCGTGAACCACGTAGAGGCTGTCGTTAGTGCGGGGATTGTTTTCAGCTGAAGGGAACTGTTAAAAGCTCAGCAGAAAGATCCATTTTGTCGAAAGGTGTTCGACGGGCTCCAGGAGCCGGGTGGTAGCGAGGCCTCCGCGCACAGCAGGGCAGCTGGTATTGCTGTCAGTGCGGAGCGCTCAGCAACAGCTGGTAGTGCTGTGAGCATGCTGGATTCATACCTGCTGGATTCTGACAGCGTCCTGCAGAGGTACATCCCATCCAACGATGACTCAAATGAGTCATTCAAAGTCGTGATACCGCGCACGTTCAGAGGAGCACTTCGCTACTTTCATGACTCGTGCATCGCTGGCGACATCAGCATGCGCTGAATATGCAACGCAGTTGCGCGAAAAGCTAGCAGAAGCTTTACATAAAGCTCGGTATAATCTCAGCACTGCTAGGGCACAGCAGAAGCAGTACGGCTGCTCGCATCGGAACGTTCACAACGAAGTGGGCGATCTGGAGCTGCGGCGCCATCATGTTCTCAGCAGTGCTAGCAAACAGTTTGCTGCCTCGCTGGCACCGAAATGATCCGGGCGGCACCGAGTGCGAGAAAAAGTTTCCTCGCTCGTTTATCGGCTCGTGAGCATGAGAGGCAAACCAAGCGGCGAACCGGTGCACATATGTGACTTGAAACGCTACGTGTGGAGCATGAGCGTTTCAAGTCAGCACGAAGACTACAGTCAGTCCCCCTCCAGGCCGCAAGCGGAGGGTAAGATCGCTCGACATCGAGTGAGGAACCCAGAACCGCGTTACTTCTTGCTTAACAGGCAAAGACAACTCTCCACGGCAGGCTGCGTTTGATATGTTCGACGCGAGGTGCAAGGGTTCGCGCGCAACACATGTGCGATTGTTAATCTGTATTTTTTTTCTGTGTCGACCTTTCAACGAGCATATGGAGAGCCGAAAGAGAAAGAAGTGCCGCCGGAACAGCTCGGAGGTACATCCCATCCACTCCTTTCGCCGGATCACCCCCAACAACATCCATGTCGTCATCGCAGCCCCACCCAACCAAGCAATGCCACTTTCAACCTACCCCATCGCCCTCATCATCGGGCTTTACGCAAGAGGCACCAGGGTGACCGACTGCCAGCCCAGCCAAGAGAGCCAGCCGCCTCGAAGCCGCTATCACAAGCACAAGCCTACCTAGCCGACCCACGATTTTCCGGCACCCTTGGCTTCTGCTACCTCAAAGCCATGGTGTGGCACACCAATGATGAGACACCCGAGCCCACCAAACTAGTGGACCTGTGACCCGATGCGGCAGCCCAGACCATGCTGGAGAGGGCGGCCTAAGCCAGTGCTGAACGGGACCGTCACCAACTGGCAACTCTCAGTCGTCATCAATGACCTGAGTAGCGGAGGTCAACGTGGCGCGGTCTAGACCAGAGTGATATCAGCACCGGATCCAGGGCAGCAGTAAAAGCGGCGGAAGCGACAGCAGTGGCAGTAACGTAGAGGAGGTGACAGCGGCGGCGATGACTGGCCATGACTCAAGGGGGCACGGCAGCAGTGGTGGTGGCTACTCAGGATGCAGCGACGACAAGTGGAGGCACCAGCGGCACCCACGGCAGAGGGCCAACCGCAGGAGGGCACGGATTTGTACCCTCCGTTCTAGCCTTCCTCTATTATGAATAACAAAATATTCTCATGTTGCAGTCTCTGTCGTTCAGGGGCCTTTCTAAGGGGGGGGGGAGAGGATGTGGGGGAGCATGTGTGCCCAGCCACCCTCTCTCTTTTACGGCAGCGCGAAAGCCTAGTTGCGGGAACACCCTCACGGCCGGCGCTCTATATCTCCCTTTCCCAGCGCGCAGAATGGCCTCCCCTTTCTCAGCGAGAAGTGGTATTATTCTCGTGAGGGGGAGGGAAACCGGGTCAGTGAACAAAACTAGCGTGCGGATGGCCACACGCCCTCTCTGACACTGGCCAGGCACGAAGGAGGTCGAACCTGCAACCCCCTGCGAGCCGAGGTCGTCAACGACCAAGGAGTAAGCGTCTACTCTTGTTTTCTGTACTATCTCTTCGCGAAATTTACGCGCTATTGGTAATGCCTAGCAATGAAGTGTTGTTGTTGACATAGCCTATTGCTTTATTCGCCCGAACCTGTATAGTTTCAATGAGACTAGCTACGGAAAGGGGACGCTAATCGTGCACGGTATGACTGTGTGCAGCTGAAACATTAGTTAGGCTTCTGCGTCAGCAGTACATGAGACGGACCTCGTACAAGAGGGACTGAAGGCAGAGCTAACCCAAAACACTTATTTTGCAGTAAAAAACTGCATTATTATTGCGATAGCTATATGGACGCTTGGTGGGGTTTTGTCGTCGGCGCCGTGTTCCGTGGTGAGTCCAAATTGATAACATGCCCCTGTGCATCGTAACCTTCTCGAGCGGGTAAAACCATGCGAGCGCTGCTGAAGCAGAGATGAAACGAGTCGGCCCATCTATCTTCTGTGTGTTGGAACTGCCGTTGAATGCACAAACAGAAAGTAAACCACTTGCCTTGAATGAGCATGAAACAACGTGGGGAGGAAGGGGCATTGCTTGAGTAGCAATATGAACTTGTAAATAAAGAGCAGTCGCAATCGCTGGCGCGCCTGCCAACTCTGCGAGTATCAGTGCGGTTTCAAGAGCGCTTTTTCCTGGAGCGGCCGTATTTACTCACACCTGCCCTCATTGACTGCTCGGCCAGTAAGCTCCATCTCAGATTGCCCATCACAAACCCCGCTGCACAACGACCGAGTCGCTTCTGCACTGCCTGATATGCTCGTCTTCCGCCTCAAACGCTGACCTACGTCGAGTACGTATCAAATCCACCAGTTCCCGATGGCAACTTTGTACTGACTGCCGTCGCTGATGTCCTCATCAGGCGCGGTATTATGTTACCGCACACCATCTCCCAGTTGTCAATTTCAGTTGGGCACCTCAGGTGCTGCCGCAAGGTATCGCTTTGGCACTGCTTCTCAAAGACAGCGGAGTGGATGTTTTCTCCATGGTCGCTCCTTCCAACCCCTCTGCCCAGCCCCACTCCATTTATTGCCTCGGCAGTGCAATTAGGTCGATGATTGCTTCTAATCTAACAGCACAGCAGACTGAAGAGCTCCACCACGTTCTGCTGTCTTACATCGTTTTTAACCTCGGCGGCCGTCTTTCGTGCAAACTACTGGAGTGAACTACCACATAAACACTGGTGATGAGCCTCCTATTTATAGGCGTCCGTATTGGGTGTCGTTGATCGATCGTCAGATTATCCAAACTGAAGTCAACAAAATGCTTTCAAGCACATCATCGAACCATCTCTCAGTCCTTAAGCATCCCCTTTCCTGATAATCCGCAAGAATGACGGCACATGGGGTTTCTGTGTCTGTTATCGCGATTCAAACAAAATTACAAAAAAAGTCGTGAACCCTCTATCACGAATAGAAGATGCTTTTGATTGCCTTTACGGTGCCCACTACTTCTCATCCATAGACCTATGTTCCGGGTACTGGCAGATTGAGGTGGATGCCATGGATCGAGAAAATACTGCATTTATTACACCCGACGGCCCATATCAATTCATGGTCATGCCCTGCGGCCTCTCTAACGCTCCAGCCACATTTGAACAGATGATGGACTGTCTGCTCAGAGGCTTTGAACGGGCTACTTGTTTGTGCTATTTGGACGATGTCATTATTTCTTCACCTACATTTGAAAGTCATGTCTACCAGTCATCTTAGATATTTTTTGTCATGCTGGCCTCCAGCTGAACTTATTCAAGTGTCACTTTTGGCGGCACCAAATTACAGTTCTTGGCCATTTAGTGGACGCTAACAGCATACAACCTCACACAGCAAAAATCAGCTCAGTCAAAAATTTTCTTGTACCACGATCATCAAAGGATGTATGCAGCTTTCTCGGACTGGGATCCTACTTTTGCCGCTTCATCAAGAATTTTGCGGACATGCCGAGCATGCTCGTGACACTATTGCACGAGCCGACCATGCTCGTCAGCTCGCTCATGCTCGTCTGATGGTGTTGCAGAGCAAACAGTGACACCGCTACGATGCTTCGCATCGCGACGCAAGTTTCGCTTTGGATACCCTTGTGTTACTCTGGTCTCATCGTCGGGTGGGCCTATCTGAAAAACTTTTGCGTCTTTACATGGGACCTTACCGTGTATTGCGGCAGGTAGCATCTGTTGCTTATCAGATTGGCACCAGCTCTCCGTCCTCATCAGTTCAGTGGAGTGCTGTTGTTCATGTGTCATGGCTCAAGATCTACAACTCTGCTTGTGAGGACGACCTATAAAGCTCCGGGAGTGTGCTTCCGCCGCTGGGGGTTGCGTACCAGTGGCACAGCGATCCATGCGACGAAGAGGAGGACGACAGTGACAGACTGGCGCAAGCTCTTCGTTTGTGAGCTCAGCTCAACTAACCAGTTGTAAATACATCATCATCATCATCAGCCTGACTATGTCCACTGCAGTACAAAGGCCTCTCCCATGTTCTGCCAGTTAACTCGGTCCTGTGCTTGCTGCTGCCAAATTATACCTGCAAACTTCTTAATCTCATCTGCCCACCTAACCGTCTGTCTCCCCCTAACCCTCTTGCCTTCGCTGGGAATCCAGTTAGTTACCCTTAATGACCAGCGATTGTCCTGTCTAAGCGCTACATGCCCGGCCCATGTTCATTTCTTCTTCTTGATTTCAATTATTATATTCTTTACCCCCGTTTGTTCCCTAATCCACTCTGCTCTCTTCTTGTCTCTTAAGGTTGCACCTAACATTTTTCTTTCCATTGATCACTGCGTGTCCTCAATTTAAGCTGAACCCTCTTTGTAAGTCTCCATGTTTATGCTCTGTAGCTAAGTACCTGCAGGATACAGCTGTTATATACCTTCCTCTTGAGGGATAGTGGCAATCTACCTGTCACAATTTGAGAGTGCTTGCCAAATGTGCTCCACTTCATTCTTATCCTTCTAGTTACTTCAACCTTGTGGTTCGGCTCTGCGGTTATTACGTGCCCTGAGTAGACATACCGTATTTACTCGCGTAATCTTCGCACTCGCATAATTTTCGCACCCCCCACATCGCCCAACAAAAATACGATTTCTTTTTTTTTTCCTTGAGTAATTATCGCACCCCCGAAACTGCTGCAATAATGTCGTCGGCTCGTTCCAGCCACTGATGATGATAGCACGTGCCATTTGGCACCATCTCTTCACCATCAATTGTACTATTGTACGGAGATTCAATCCAATCCAAGCCAAGCCGAAGTAGCCAGTGCGCGTTGCGGCGTGTTTTGTATGTTGTGTCGGTAATCTTGTCACATTATGAGGCGATACTACTGAAGCTACACGGCTCCTTTCATAGTTGCAAGTGATAGATCATGCACTAAACAACGGCAAAAGGGCCGCCGTTAGGCCCTTTGGAGTCTACAAGTTTTGTGTTCACTACTGGTGACGGCAGCTGACGGCACCTACGCTAAAGTTGGTTTCCTCAATAAGAGCAGAGTACCTGTTCTGACGCGAGACTATGAATTCCTGTACTTTCTCTCTCAGTGCTAGCTCATTGATTGGCTTCTTGCGTATCAGTTTATGTCGTTCCTTCAAATCTAGGCGAATTCGAGACCGTACCATTTTATGGTCACTGCCGTTAGGCCCTTTGGAGTCTACGAGTTTTGTGATCACTACTGATGACGGTTGGGCCTGCTGTGTGCCTAAAACTGGGATTGATGGTAAACTTTATTTCTTCAGAAGGAAACTGTGGACGATTCTGTTAAATAGCCATCATCCCAATACTGACGTCCTACGCTTGCCTTTTGAGGGCTCCTGTTGAGCGACGAACGCTATCGCTACGCCCGCAATGTCCACAAGCTTTGCGTATGGTATTCTACCTCTCGACTATTTGCTTCCACTTTTTGTGTCTCAAATAAATCTTGTCTTGTGTCGAACCTCTGCTTTTATTGTTGAGGTAAGTTTTAGTTAGTACTTAAAGCTTGCTGTTAGTTGCTGGTGTGAGAATCCCGATTCGCGGCCACTTCATTTTTTTTTTTTTTCGCTCTGTACGTTTTTGTGGAAAGTTTTCCCCGCGTAATTCTCGCACCCCCCAACTTTGCATCAGTTTCCGGCAAAAAAAGTGCTAGGATTATGCAAGTAAATACGGTAGTCTTCTACAACTTTAAGTGGACTATTACCTATCTCAAAGCGCTGCTCTCTTCCGAGGTTGTTGTATATTACTTTTGTTTTCTGCAGATTAATTTTGAGACCCATCTTTGTGCTCTCCTTGTCTAACTGCGTAATCATGAGTTGCAATTCGTCCCGTGAGTTACTAGCAATGCAATGTCATCGGGGAAGCGCAAGTTGCTAAGGTACTTTTCATTAACTCTTATGCCTAACTGTTCCCATTCTAGGCCTCTGAAAACCTCCTGTAAGCACGCGGTAAATAGCATTGGGGAGATTGTATCCCCTTGCCTTACACCCTTCTTTATTAGTATTCTGTTGCTTTTTTTATGAATCACTATGGTAGTAGTTAATCCCCTGTAGATTTTTTCCAGGATGTTTATATATGCTTCATTGATGCCCTGATTCCGCAGTGTCTGCATGATTGCTAATATTTCTACTGAATCAAATGCCTTCTTGTAATCTATGAAGGCTATGTATAGGGGTTGGTTATATTCTGAGCATTTCTTTAATACCTGATTGATAGTATGAATGTGGTCCATTGTTGAGTAGCCTGTTCGAAATCCTGCTTGTTCTTTTGGTTGATTGAATTCTAATGTTTTCTTTACTCTGTTAGCAATTACCTTTGTAAATAGCTTGTATACTACAGAGAGCAAGCTCATCGGCCTGTAATTCTTCAAGTCCTTGTCATCTCCTTTCTTATGTATTGAGATGATGTTAGCGTTCTTCCAATACTCTGGTACTCTTCCCGTAACGAGACACCTCGTAAACAGGATGGCTAGTTTTTCTAACAGAATCTGTCCTCCATCTTTCAGCAGATCTGATGTTACCTGATCCTCACCAGCAGCTTTGCCTCTTTGCATGCTCTCCAAAGCTTTTCTGACTTCTTCTATCATTACTGGTGGGGTGTCATCTGGGTTACTGCTAATTCTTATAGTATTAAGGTCGTGGTTGTCTCGGCTACTGTACAGATCTCTGTAAAACTCCTCCGCTATTTTAACTATCCTATTCATATTGGTAGTTATTTTGCCTTATTTGTCCCTTAGTGCATACATCCGACTTTTGCTTATCCCAAGTTTCCTCTTCACTGCTTTGACGCGTCCTCCGTTTTTCAGAGCGTGTTCAATTCTCTCCATGTTATACCTTCTTACATCGCATACTTTACGTCTATTAGTCAACTTCGAAAGCTCTGCCAGTTCTATTTTGTCTGTTGTACTTGACACTTTCATGATTTGACGCTTTGTAGGCCCGTGTGCTCAGATTTGGGCGCACGTTAAAGAACCCCAGGTGGTCAAAATTACCGGAGCCCTCCACTACGGCGTCTCTCATAATCATATGGTGGTTTCGGGACGTTAAACCCCACAAATCAATCAATCAATCAATCATGATTTGACGCTTCTTAATTAGGTTCTTCGTTTCCTGGGAAAGCTTGCCAGTGTCCTGTCTAACTACCCTGCCTCCAACTTCCACTGCACACTCCGTAATGATACTCGTCAGATTATTATTCATTGTATCTACGCTAAGGTTGGTTTCCTCACTAAGAGCCGAGTACCTGTTCGGCAGCGACACTCTGAATTCCTGTACTTTCCCTCTGAGTGCTAGCTCATTGATTGGCTTCTCACGTATCAGTTTCTGTCGTTCCTTCTTCAAGTCTAGGCGAATTCGAGACCATACCATTCTATGGTCACCGCATCGTACCTTGCCAACCACTGCCACATCCTGCACGATTCCTGGGTGTGCAGTCATTATAAAGTCTATTTCGTTCTTATTTTCGCCATTAGGGCTCCTCTATGTCCACTTGCGGTTTTCTCGTTTTCGGTAGAAGGTGTTCAAAATCCGTAAATTATTGCGTTCTGCGAATTCTACTAGTAGCTCTTCTCTGGCGTTTCTAGTACCGATGCCATAATCTCCTACTGCCTGGTCTCCAGCCTGCTTCTTCGCTACCTTCGCATTAAAGTCTCCCATCAGTATAGTATACTGTGTTTTTACCTTACCTATTGTCGATTCCACGTCTTCAATGAAGCTTTCAACTGAAGCGTCATCTTGGCTGGATGTAGGCCCATAAGCCTGTATCATCTTCATCTTGTATCTCTTATTGAGTTTAATTACGATACCCACCACCTTTTCATTAATGCTATAGTATTCCTCTATGTTGCCAGCTATGTTTCTTTGAATTAGGAACCCCATTCTCAGTTCTCTTCTGTCAGCCATGCCCCGATAGCAAAAGGCGTGCCAATTCTGTAGCACCGTATAGGTCTCATCTATATGTCCTCCTAACCTCACTGAGCCCTATTATATCCCATTTAACACCTTTTAACTGCTCGAATAGTACAGCGAGACTTGTCTCACTAGATAAGGTTGTAGCGTTAAACGTTGCCAAGTTCAGGTTCCAATGGAGGCCTGTCCAGATCCAGAGATTTTTAGCACCCTCTGCTGTGTTGCAGGTCTGATCGCCGCTGTGGTCATTTGCTACATATATTCCGTAAAGTCTGTACCTGCTGGGTCTGTTTTTCTCGTAACAATATATTTATATATGTGTTAGGTTGTTTCTTGCCCAATAAATTTTAGCTACGAGTCAGCGCCCATCCTATGTTTTTACTTTTCGTGGTAGTCTTTTACTTTTCGTCGTAACCGAGAACAACTCACACAAATTAGCCCAGGCTTCCATTCTTATACTTGACCATAAGAAAAGCCTTAACAAAATGGAAAAGCATTTGCCCCAGATTCCGAGTCCAATAGCACCTATAGAACGAAAGAGTGTTTGAGATTATTGAATGCTTTTTCTGCATCAAGTTCAAGCAGTACCTTAGTCTTTAAAACACAAAGGATTTCATGTGTCTATTAAGGAGCAAGATTTTCTTTATTAAACTTTGAGAGTAATTGAGTAAATCAGCATATCACAATAATCTGAAATTGTACCTGTGGGCAGTGCAACAAAAATGGATGTTTAAACCCATTTTTAAAAAAAGTTAGCTTGAACATTGCAAAAGAAGGTCCAGCTTAAAATTTACACATGCGAATGTTCAGCATATCATAACTTCATCTTAAATGGGTTCAGAATATCTATTTTTATGAACAACAGTAATCACATTTGGGTGTGTTCCTGTTCTTTGTGCAGACTCGGGAAGAGCGCAAGATCGATGCCATCATGCGTGCATTTGAGAAAATGGAGCGCACTGAGAAGCGTCGCCAGCTGGCCCTGGAGCGGTTGCAACATCGGGGAGGGAGACCGTCCATTGATGAAGGCCGGCCAGAGGTTGACGAGCGCTCCATTGAAGAAACTCCAGCCCTTGAGGCGGACCCTGCCAATCTGCCGCCGGAGGACACAGAGCGCTCACGCTCTCTCCGAGTGGTCAGTCGCAAGAGGTCGGTTTCTTCGCCACAGAGGGAGTTGGGCGCTTGGGATGCACATCAGAGATATAAAAAAAATGACAAGACGAAAGCTTACGATCTGAAATCTGTTAACATTTTCGCAAGTCGACTTCACTAGCGTGTATGTGGTTCGTGCCCTCTCCCCCTATTTGTCTGAATTGGGGGAGAGGGTATACATGTTAGAAGTAAGGAGTCCACTTGTCGAAATGTCGGCTCGAGCACACCACCTGTTTACGAATTTTTCCCAGCAGAGATGTAGCGACGCAAGCTTTTAAATTAATGGTTAAATACAAAGCAACATCAAGCAGCAGCACCATGCCGATTCCTAGGTAGTACAATTTTTCAATACTGAGTTTGAGAGACATGGTATCTAGGAGGCTCTGTCTCGCACTTAACATAGTTGCATACCAGGCACATCCGAATAAAAGCTATCTGTGTAGAAATTGGAAATCTGTTGCTCCATTTTTTTTTTTTCTGGCAAAACCTTGTTAGAGGGCCAGTAAACAGGCTCCGACTTTTTTTTTTACACTGCCCATACAAGCTCGGTAATTCGTAAATTAGACCGCAGCGGTCACGTTTTCTGAATATTACAGCGCTGTGCGCCGCGCAGATTATTTCGAAAAATAATTCCCGCCCATCTTTCCTACGCCTGACCGACCCCCTTGCATGCGCAGTGACGTCAGCTCAGCGATCGGCGACGTGACGTAGCACGCAGCTCGCTGATTGTTCTAAATCAGGTGTGAAAAAACAGTAGTGAAGTCAACGTCAGTTCTTGTTCCCACCCAACAGCTACGAAACTGCCCCTTGTTTTTGGCACTGCGGTGAAAGAACCAGCCTCGCAGTTGTCGCGTGCACGTGTACATTCCTCGCTCAACTACAGCGCCTTTGCTCACGTACGAACGTACTTGGCTTTTGACATGGGCAACACGAATAAAAAGCGTTGCTTTGTCGTCGATTGCAAATAGAGTGACTGGGCAGTGGAAAAGCATCGGCACCGGGTGCCTCACGATTGGGCCCTGCGCGCTGCATTGCTGAAGTGAATCGGCCATCCTGCGGCGTTCGTCGGGGACCTGATCGTTTGTGGTCGACACTTTGCACCTAACACTTACACGGTTGACCAGCGGCTGGTGCGGCAAACTGTGAATAAACAATCACGCTTCGCAGCAAGCGGAAGTGTGTTGCGACTGATCGAGTTTGCCGATGACACCAATCGCTGACGTGGTGTCACGTTGCCGAAGTGGGGTCACGTTGCCGAAGTGAGCGGAGTCACGACGATGGGCTGCGCCTTCCCCTTCATAAAAGGGAGATGGGGGGCGAGGCCACGCGAAAATTTGAAAGCTGTTTAAACTGATGTTCCAACCCCTGTAACTTCTTTAATATAGCATGTATTCCCAAAATTCTTGCAGCAGCATGTTCGCAAAGAAAAACTGCCCATATATCTCTTTTTAAAATTTTTGCACCTCAGGGCTGTTTGCTAGCTCTTTAAGTGCAGTTCACCGACATGAAAGCCTTGTTAATATGACTCTATGACAATCTTCAACCCTACAGGCACTTTTTTGGGAATGAAAATTCCTTCGTTAGATCGGAACACTAGAATCAGCTTTTTTTAAGCCAAGGTTTAACTAAAATTCTTTTTGTTGAGTATGCTGTCCAATTTAATTACCGAACATGAAGAAAAATTTTTTTTATTTATCTATTTATTGCCTCTTCTTCTAAAGAAGTGCTGACACAAATTGTAAATAACTCTCAGGTGTTCTCAATAAAAACACGGGTGTTGGAAACCCTAAAAAGAGCGTCGTAATGCTTCAAAATTTATTGAGGATATTTTTTTATTTCGCTGCCTTTAAGCAGTAATTTTGGTTTCGGTATCTAGACAGTGGCTTTACAGTGACATGCCAACACGAGTATGAAGTCACAGTAGCACAGTAACTCACGACATTATAGCAACAGCTGTCAATTCGGTTCACGCTAACTAGTGCATTGCCATCCAGAGGCAGTGATTTCTGTGATTCAAGCTGGATGCAGGACACGAATCATGCAAACTTTGTTGACTTGTGATGGTGTCCATAGCTGTGGCTTGCTCGTAGATGCTGGGCAAAAAAGACTTTAAAATCAAGGTAGACTATTTTATAAGTGTTGTACCCCTCCGATGTGGGGAGAGCGTTTATAATGCACACCATGGAAACGAAAAATGTCCCATTTGGGCATTTCAAAAACGTGCCCCTTTAAACGGCGTTTTGTGCAGACTGAGTTGTCACATGAGCCTTTTTCTGAAGCTGCGGGGACATTGAGGCCAGTGGTGTGTGTGTGTGTGTGTGCAGCAGCAGCAGTGGCGGCAAACGAAGAAGGAGCACGCAGTCTCGGCGCACTCGCACGCGCAGCAACAGCGGGGGTCCGGAGCTGCTGCTAGCGGCTGCGGCCACTGTGGGGGGTCTCGAGTGCCCCGAGGGTGTGTCTTTTCCCCCGCCGGCCTCTTCCCCCGAGGAGGAGGAGCCCCCGTCACCACCACCTACGGACCTGTCGCCCCAGCCAGGCTCCTCCCCGCAGGGACAGCCGCCTCCCCTGCCCAAGTCCAAGAGGGTCAGTTGCATTGCTCAAACTGGAGGCATGCATGCAAAACTTGTGCCGTAGCACACACTGACAGTGATGCAGCTGCTGGACCACTTGAAGCGTATTACACTCTAACCTCGATATTACGAAATATAACAAAGTGAAAGGCGAATAGTCTTGCAATATATGATGGACTTTCAGAGACTCTCAGTAAACGGAACTACTGCTTAAGGGGAGATGCTACTTGAAGACACTTTTTTCTTAATATTCACCCTAGATCAATGAGACTTGAGCTGTTTATAGAACTTTCTATGCTGATTTCAAATATGTAATTAGTTTTCTTGTAAGTTGCTTACTTTTAGCTCTGCAAAATGACAAAGTGAAGACTTTAACCCTTTTGCCCCCCTCTTTTCATCCCTGAACTTCGGTAATTTTTTACCATTCATAGTTCATAATGTTTGAAATAAAGCGTAGAATACAAATAACTAATTAGGAAGCACATACAAAATATGTAATTGGTGTGAAAAATAATAGACGTAAAAAGTCCATGTTTTACCTACCCTAGTAAAGGTTGACAGAATTTTTTATTATACAATAAAATATTAAAATTTAAACTAGATAATTGCATTCGCCATACTTTAGAAAAAAATTTGGGCAAAATTTCATGCAGAGTCGAGCGCTAGAAGTGCCCGAAAAAGGAGGGGCACTTTGAAAAAACTTGCAAAATTTGTGTTTTGAGAAAAACCAGTTTTCAAGTTAAAATTGAGTTTTTATTTATGAAAGATATTAAATTTGATGAAATTTGGACACCAAAAAGAACAGTCCCTCTTGTAGTGGCCACTGCGACTAAAATACGCCAGCCCCATGTGTTTATCCCTCTCGGCATTTTTGAGCCGACTCCTCACAGACATTTTGCTCACAGACAGGGCCATGAAACGCTTGCCAAACTTCCATTTCATCTGACAGAGCCTTGTGCCAACTGCAAGCTAGGAAGAAGTTCGACAGGACTGCGAAATCCGAACTAAGTCCAGTGTCATGCCATCTTGCGGCCATGTTTGTGCCACATACCGTCGTACATAATGGCAATGTCGTCCCTGCTGAGTTCTCTCACTGCGAGCTCTTTCAACCTCGCAAGATTGGTGCTGACGTCATCCATTGCCGCATTGCGAACTTCCCGGCCGACGGGTGTGAATGACTTTTGATGCATTGGTTTTGATTTTGATGCATTGACTGCAAGTTTGGCATTGATCGCAAGATGGTTTGATTTTGATGCATTGGACGCAAGTGATGTTTTTTTTTCCTTCACAACGGAGATAATTACACCGAGAAAAACATTGTTCAGCTGCGCTGCTCGAGAAGACATGGACCTTGCAAATAGGCTTCACAGCACATACAAGAAAATGTGCAGCGGCCAATGGCGGTCCCCAATCCGTACCACGTGATAATCCAGTCGCGGCACTCGAAAAACGCGCAGAAGCGTGCTTCTTTTTATAACTTCTTGCGCCGCATCAGCGAGGGAAACTGTTGTTGCTTGAAGAGTGAGGCTCGGCTCTTCGGCTCATGCGATGAACAGTGGCGAGCGGCGGCGCATTATCGGCAGCAAGGTGCTCGAAGACTGCACACTTTCGATCTTTTAACAGGCACCTTGTGCTCTTTAGATGCAATTTTGAAGCATTTCTAGTTAAGTCTCGACGTGTACTTTTTTTGTCATAACAGTAGAGGTACTAATCTTATCAAAACAGGCAAAAAATAAAAATCGGTAATTTTGAAAAAAAACTCGCATTTTTCGACCCGCATCTCCCCTTAAATGTAACATATTTTCCCGGTTCCTTGAGGTTCCATTTAATGAGAGTCTACTGTATTGTTTTTAAAGGCAAACTCCAGTGATTTTTCAAGGTCAATGAATCTCTACAAAATTCAGTCGGTGCAATCATTAGCACGTTTCTCCCGTTTAGGCCAAATTACAGGTCTGAGAGTTTTGCATATTGTTCTCAAATTAATTTTATAGGTTGCCTCGCAACACCCACCTGGCTTGCGTCTGTGACGTCAAGCTCTGCACGGAACTTAGGGGCCACTGCAGTGTCTGCTGTAAATCGTGTGTTTTTGGCTGGCACATGCTTTCTTGAGGAAGCGATTTCCTTCACCATGTGGGCGGGTGTGCGATGGATTGCAAAGGGTATTGTATTGTGGGCCGGACACGATAACAGCCTTTAAACACTTGCTGCCAATGACTACACTTCGTCTTGATCGTAGGGTGTTTTAGCTAGCGCTGCCGGCTTACCGCACAGTAAGTACGGTTAATAATGGGCCTGTTAAAAAGTGCACATGCACGAACTTCAACATATGGAAATTCTTTCCGTAACGAATGCCGGACCCACTGTGGCTGCACCTATTGGTATATGGTAAACTACACATCGTCAGAAAGTTACTTTCCTGGCTGATATTAATAATCTATCTTATCGAAGTCACACTGCACTCCACAAACTACTGCCCTCTTTCTATGACAATACACTCAGACCTTCATATAACGAATTATTGATTTAACAAAGGTAATGAAGAACAGTCATGTAATAGGTACAGTGTTATGAATATCAAATTATAATGAATCTTCTGATATAACAGTGTTTTTGGTGCAGATGTGATTTTGGTAGTGAGGGTTGAGTGTACTGAAAAGTATGGGAGCGCTTAGCGGCTGCGAATGCTTGAAGCAGACGAGAATGATGACCATGATGGCACGCAGTTAGCAGCTATAACGATGGCACGTGGTTAGCAGCAGCTGGCAATGGGCACTTGCGGGTTGATGCTCGGAGCAGTACATACGGTCCTCAGTCTGCCTCGGTCTACTTCCTGAAGGGTTCCGGTCTCGAAACCTTGCATTGCAGCCCAAACCTTGCAAGAGTCTTAGTTTCACGAACTTCTTGGCACGACCATTTTTAGCCCATTGTAGTTTCAGGCGATTCTCCCTAGGCGCTAGTTTTATTCTCTGACATTAACACATAAATTTAGGATACCCAAAAGAAAAGCTTTAAGTTACAGTACCAGACACTTAAAGGAGTGGTTAGTGCCAACACCACGTTCAAACTACGGGAAACAAATGCTTCACTACACTATACCTACACTATTAAACAGTTATAAATCAATACAGTTTGATTTTTTACTGCCTCTTTCAAATAACTTAAAAGGAAGTACAGTACACTCTCAATAAACGGAACCTGAAGGCTCATTAAACAGAACCTGAAGGGACCGGGAGAATGTGTTTTATTTAACAGGAGTTCCGTTTGCTGAGAGGTGAATTGGGTGGCTACATTGAACTATGAAACCAATCATATCAGATGCAGTTCTTTCATTGAAGCAGCAGTTTCGTGTTTCCATTTGCTGAGAGTCCACTGTTTGTGGTTACTGGATAGATTCCTGTTGCAATGTTTATACATCTTTTATTTCATTGCCTTTTAAAATGAATGTGTGATGAATTTACTTGCGTATGAACACACCCCTAATTTCAGTCGTCACAATATAGATTTTGTTTCCCCGCATAATAAACGCACGCCCTACATTCATCCACTGCAGTCCCGCTAACCGACACCTGACGCCTCCTTACCCGTTGAATCTCTTCCATTTTTAATTATTATGCTGACCCTCCTCCTCAGCCACCTCGGCTCGTTCCCTCCCCCTTTCCGTGTTGCCGCCGTGTTGCCGTATTGTTTTTCTTTGTACCTGTGTGTGGCACGTCCCCTGTCCTTTTTATCTGTGCGCCACAGTGGGGTAGAAACCCCTGTCCTTTTTATCTGTGCGCCACAGTGGGGTAGAAACGTCACAGCTGATAAGTACACAGCGAGCGAAGGTCGCGAAACTGTTCACAGCAACTGGCAGTTGCTTCCTGCAAATACGAAAGGCCCAACGACGGGCACTCTATTATTGAGTAACGACGACCGGATTTGCTGCCACGAAGGGTCATTTGTCACTACCGCGTCGCAGGTTTTTAGACAACCTGAAAAAATTCGGGTTGTCGCCCAGAAAAGATCATGACGATTTCCACAACATGGTGGCACTCCCAATTCTCGCTTCGCTTGTTCTTCACGTGTACAGGAACCTTTCATGTGGAAGCGAGTTGGCGGCCATATTTTGTCAATAATCTTGTTATTGACAGTTTGTTTTGATGCTTGAAGGGTAGGTTGTCGTAATGCTGTAATGCTAACTGTAATGTAATGTAATGTAACTTGCTGTAATGTTAACGGTGGTGTTGTGGTCCTCAAGCGAGGTTGCCGTGAAGTTGGCAAAGTACGTCGTAGCGCACGCCTCTGGACGCCCCTCGAGATCACAGCAGACATCACTGTTCAGGTGAAAGTGGTTGGCCACCTTCAAAAGTGAAACTTTTTTCGCGATGTCGACTTTTTTTTGTTTTGTTTTTTTTGTTTGGCCCAAACATTCAAAATTATTTATCAGTAAAAGTTAACCTCCTATCATCATTGGTTTGCGAGTTATAGCTAGATTTCTATACCCTAGGCTCGTATACTGAAAGCGAAAACACATTATGTTGGTTACGAAAGTAGGTGTTTTTCGTCTATAATAATTGTATTGAAAATACCTCGTGAATTTTATGTTGACTGTTACATAAGAGGATGTCATTATATTGTCGCCGCTGGACTGATGGACTTGCATCTGACAAATTTTAGTACTGAGTGCCGGCACCTTCCAAAAGGCATGACCGTCATTTACTTCGACGATATCACAGGCGCAGAAGGCTTGGCAGTAGTCGATGAGGTGCCAAAACTTGATTCAACACCAGTTCTCGACGTTAGCACTACTTTGCCTAAGGACGAGCGAAAGAGGCTTCTTGAGCTACTGGCCGAATTTCAAGACTGCCTTTCGACAACATCAAGAGTTGGCCGCACACCTCTAACCAAGCATTGGATAATTACCGAGGACATGGCAAGACCAATTCACAAAAACCCTTATTGCGTGGCTCCAAAAGAACGCTAAGTGATACCAGAGAAAGTCGACATCCTGGAAGATGACGTCATTCAGGCCTCAAAAAGCTCCTGGGTGTCACCTGCGGTCTTTGTTAAAAAAAAAAGACAGCGGCCTGCACTTCTGTTTAGATTACAGGAAGCTCAATCAGGTGACAGAGAAATGTGTATCCACTTCCTCGTATAGATGACTCTCTCGACAGACTTTGATATGCTCGTTACTTTTCATCGATGGACTTGAGGAGCGAATATTGGCAAATCGAGGTAGACCCGAGGGACCGCGAGAAGACCGCTTTTGTGATTCCAAATGGCTTATATTAATTTGAAGTCTTGCCCTTTGGTTTATGCTCAGCGCCTGCTACCTTTCAAAGACTCATGGATACTGTGCTTTCTGGGTTGAAGTGGAAAACCTGCTTGGTCTACCTTAATGATGTCATAGTTCTCGCCGCAACACTTGACCAGCACCTTAAAAGGCTTGAGGTAGTTTTACAAGCCATAAGGTCCGCGGGCTTGACGTTGAAGCCTGAAAAGTGCCACTTTTGCTATGAAGAATTGAACTTTCTTGGCCACGTCGTCAGTCACGCAGGCGTTCGTCCTGATCCTAAAGAAATTGCAGCCGTTGCGCAGTTCCTCATGCCGACTGATAAGAAGGCTGTCCGACGCTTCCTCGGCCTATGTGCGTGTCATAAGCGATTCATCGCGGACTTCGAACGCATCACATCGCTGTTAACCCGCGTCACGAGAGAAGCCGTTGCCTTCCAATGGAGCAACGAAAAGGAAGCTGCTGTTAAGAACCTGCGCCAGCGACTACATACGCCTCCAGTGCTTGCCCACTTTGATGAGAAAGCCCCAACAATGCTACACACTGATGCCAGCAATGTTGGTCTGGGAACTGTGCTTGTGCAGGTGCAAGAATGCACAGAAAGAGTAATCGCCTATGCAAGCCGAACACTAACATGTGCCTGAGAAAGAATGCCTCGCCTTGGTATGGGCGGTCACAAAATTCTGCTCGTATTTATACGGCCACCCTTTCAAAGTCATCAGCAACCAGCATTCACTGTGTTGGTTGACGAATCTTAGAGATCCTACTGGGCGATTAGCATGTTGGAGTCTCAGGCTGCAAGAGTGCGACACCACGGTCATACACAAGTCAGGGAACAGCCATATGGACGCTGACTGTCTATCCCGCTCACCCATTGAATTGGCAACTCTACCCGTTGAGGAGGAAACAGCATTTTTTCGGTGTGCTCGACACGACCGCCATTGCGCGGCAACAACATGGCGACCCTGAGGTACTTGCCCTAATTAACTGCCTGGACGGCAGATCTCAGAAGGCATCAACTGTTTTCGTGAAAGCACTGTCATCGTTTTGGTTACGGGGTGGAGTATTATACAAAAGAAACTTCTCTTCGACAGGATCCGCCTATTTGCTCGTCATCCCAGCAGCCCTTTGCTCCAAAGTACTCCAAACATGCCACAACGAGGTGACTTCAGGCCACTTAGGTTACACGAGAGCGTTGGCCAGAGGACAGCAACGGTAATACTGGCCAAGACTGAACATAGCCGTAAAGCATCATGTTCGTACTTGCCTTGACTGCCAGTGACGAAAGTCCCCGCCGACTAAATCAGCTGGCCTCCTACAGCCCGTGCAGGTCCCAAGAACACTGTCCGGCCAGATTGGCATGGATATTTTGGGTCCACTTCCTACTTCTACTGCTGGGAACCTCTGGGTTATTGTCGCGACTGATTACCTTACCCATTATGCTGAAACAAAGGCTACCCAAAAAGGTACAGCAGCAGACGTGGCACAATATTTCATAGAGAATGTTGTACTGAGGCATGTTGCACGAAGCGTCGTAATCACAGACAGGGGAACTGCATTTATGGCAGCTCCTTTGGATCAAGTCCTGATGCTGAGTGCAACAACCCATCGAAAAACCACCGCCTACCACCCGCAAACGAACTGGCTCTCAGAGCACCTGAACAAAACAATTGAAGACATTCTTTCAATGTACGTAGACGTCGAACACGAAAATTGGGACGAAATCTTGCCATATATCACGTTTGCATACAACACAGCCAAGCAAGAAACAACTCGGATAACCCCCTTCAGTCTAATTCACAGACAGGAAGTATGAACCACGTTGAATGCGATGCTACCACACGAATGTGATGACACTGACCCGGATGCCGAGATGTTTACAGAACGAGCGGAAGAAGCAAGGCAACTAGCACGCTTGCGAATACAGCAGCAGCAAGAGTATGACGCAGGCCGCTACAATGCTCACCTCAGAGCACTCTTTTACTAGACCAGCGACAGAGTATGGGTTTGGATGCCCATATGGAAACGAGGACTCCCGGAAAAACTGTTAAGGAGATACTTTGGGCCATACCTAGCACTGCGACAACTGAGCGATGTTACGAGGTCGTTCCCAACGGTTCGTGTTGTACGAGGCGTCGCCAGCACCGTCCTGAACTCGTTCACGTAGTGCCCATGAAGCCTTTTGTCAGGTAGTGACTGCACAAGACATTTCTTGAAAAAAAAAAAAAAACTGCATTACTGATCTGTGATGCTCTTTAAGAGGGGGCAAATGGCGCGTGTATACTGGAGCACAAAAGCGACGATAAAAGGATTTGGCGGACACCAGGTAGTGGAGCTCTGGCTGGTTGAGGACAAAGAAGGTGATCTTGCTGTTCGGCTGCTGAGAATCGCTGTGTCAACGTCTATCTGTCTTTTGTTTGTTTTGTACCGCGACACTGGTGGAGGTGCTGGACCGGAACTTTGCCTGATGCTCTCCATCCCCGCTGGAAGCCGTTCATCTAGCCCGAACGATTTACCACCTATTGCAACTCCCGTGCACCGGTTCGGTTGGCGGCTGCTTGGCCTCGCGCCAGAGCTCACTCCTTTCCAGAACCTCCCAGGGGCCGCTTACTTCACCAACTGGTGAACGCCAGTCCGCAACAGGCGCCCAAGGCCCCCCGCCGACACACCCTTCATAGGTAACCATCTTTCAACCGTCGGTTCTTGATCACTTTAGTGGCGGCGCCCATGAAGACGTTGACGACTGGCTGCATGTTGCCAAGATCAACCTGTGGTCTGAACAGGAAAAGCTCTCACGCACTTATTTCTAGCTTCATGAGGGTGCGCATAATTGGTATGATAACAGAGAAGCCAGTCTGTCAACTTGGGGTGACTTTCGACAACAGCTTGTCGACACGTTCGCCAATGTAAATCCACGGGACCGTGTGCAGCTTGTTGGAGCTACGGATTCAAAAACCCAACGAAACTGTTTTGATGTTCGCTGAGGATATGACAGGTCTTTTTTGTCGAGCTGAACCGAACATGACTGAAGATAGGAAGTTGAGCTACCTGATGCACGGCGTTAAAGAGCAAGCTTTTCGCCGGGCTACTGCGCCACCCTTCAAGTACCGTAGTTGACTTCATCAAAGAGGCTATGACTATTGAGCGGGCCCTCCATCAACGATGCAGGCAGTGTAATCGAATGTCTAGCAGCGTCCCAATCAATTCTGCCACCATATCTGAGAATCAAAGCTCCCTGCGAGACCTCATTAGGGACATAGTTCGCGAAAGAACCATAAAAGTTCCGGACTCTGGTTGCTCAAACTTCTGTTGCGTTCGTCGCTGAACTCGTACGCGAAAAAATTCGTTATGCATTTTCTACCGCTGGTCCTGATCATGAGCACCGTCCCATGAGCTATGCCGACACTCTCTGATGTTCACCATCTCTTATATCGCCACCATACTGCTCAGTGCCAACAGCCCCTTGAACACCGCCACAAGAGCATACCCTGAGCCGACCGCCAAGGCTACCGACGTACCACCAGCCGTCCAGAACAACACCATGGACATCGTCGCAAGATGGGAGGCCCAGACGTCCACAGCTCCGAAGAACAGACGCATGGCGCACAATCGGTTGACGTCCACTATGCTTTATTTGCGAAGGTACTGCTCCTAACTAAAGCGTAATTATATCATAAGTGATCATCGAGCCGGTAAACACGTCACGAAGTAGCAATTTTCGAAAGCCATGTCCTCGCGACGCACATGCAGCAGACGACGATCTCCGGAGCGAGAATCGGGCCAATGGCGAGGCGAGCTGAGGCAACATGGCGGCCACAGCCATTCAAAGGCCTCGAAATGACCTTCGAACATTTGCTTTTTGTGCACTTGTTTTTGAAGGGAGGGGCTAGCTGAAGCGGGAAAGTTAAACACAGAGAAATGCTCTTTCAGTGCCCTCGCTAGCGTGGCAAAAGCACACGTTTATAAATTTTGAGTGCGCATAACGCGCATACAAGCAGATTTTTGACAGTTAATCTTTAGGGATGGGGGTAAAATAACGCCCGCACCGTGGTAGAAAATTCTAATGCGGGATCGCTGTCCAAAAACACTTCGCTTCCACGAGATACGTAATACATGGGCTTCTATAAACGTTCGCCGGGGATTCGGAAATATTTCGTTGCCGCGGCAATTTCGTACTCGCGAGGTTTTGTTATTGTGGGTCTCGACTGTATCTTAAACGATATCATTCTTCTTGCTTCTTGTCGTAAATACAAGTCACCAACGTCTTTGTTTCAAATTATTTCAATTTTTGTAGAAATTTATTGTGCCTGTAGTTTTTGTGAATTTGAAGGTCTAAAACAGCGTTTTATTTGCCTGGCTTTGGCACCTAAAACACACTTTTTTAGTGCCTGAAAATTCCGCCTCTAGTTATAACAAAGCAAACAAAGAATAGCTCTGTTGTAAATACAGTGCTATGAATGTAAAAAATTTTCGGATATAAAGAAGTATTTTTGTGGCAGGTGTGACATTGATAATGAGGTTTGAGTGTATATTATATTGCATTGCGGCATAATTTCAAATTAGCCTGCCCAGCTCCGATTGCCACTGCAGCTGTAAACATCAGACACGTTATTCAAAGGTCCCTGTTGGTGGCAAGTTGGTTCACGTATCTTTCTTGACAGTTGCCTTACTGAAAACATACCCTATACTCCTCACACTGTGGCTGCTAAAGCGCTGTCGTCCGCAGTTTCTGATGCAGGGTTGGCTGCATGAGAAGCGACATGAAGGAGCCGGGCCGTCCTCAGGTGATTGCCCTCCGGTGTATGTGCGCTGTACCAGGGACACCCGCAGTGCCGGCATCTCCGGCTGCCCATTTGCGCAGGCACAGTGGCTCGGCAGGCAGCGCCTGCAACGCTGCTGGCTCAGCGAAAAAGGTTACTGCTCTGCCATTGTCTATTTTTTAAAGACAGATTTTGTTAGACACGTGAGGATTTTGCCCCGCCGCGGTGGTCTAGTGGCTAAGGTACTCGGCTGCTGACCCGTAGGTCGCGGGGTCGATTCCCGGCTGCGGCGGCTGCATTTCCGATGGAGGCGGAAATGTTGTAGGCCTGTGTGCTCAGATTTGGGCGCACGTTAAAGAACCCCGGGTGGTCTAAATTTCTGGAGCCCTCCACTACGGCGTCTCTCATAATCATATGGTGGTTTTGGGACGTTAAACCCCGCAAATCAATCAGACACGTGAGGATTTTGGAAGGCCATTCTCGATTTCATTTCTGCTGCAAATCCATGCTGCCCATTGAAGCCACAAGGCAGTACCACATGGAGGTAGTTTGACTGACTGAAGCCACATGGAGGTAGTTTGACTGACTGAGTAACCATCCTAGTCTGGCTGCTGCCAACATAAAAAAGAGTCAACAGCTGAATTGTGTGCTTGCTATCTAAAAGATGCACTTTACAACATAGTGCTTACATACTTTACTTGTAGTTTAGCACATCAATTTGTGAAAATGCTGATTGAAGCCTACTGAATGGTAGACGCTGCAGAAGGGGGGTCAGAATGCTGTTGAGGTCAGAAATGGGAGCATTAAGTCTGGAAAGATATTTCAGCTTGAAAAATATTCAGTGTACATCATATTCCAGGAAGCTTGTGACAGTGCCACAAAAACATCTGAATTTTCAAGCCTGTCTGAAAAAGTTGGGCTTCCGAAAAATTCGCTGTGAACTGTATGTATGCATATGTATGTGGCCAGCACTGCATGTTTCTGGGTGAACACTGAAATGGCTACCAGACATCACCAAGACGCATCATGTGTGCTACAGCTACCAAAGACGAACCAGCCAGGAAACATTACGTTGAGTGATTGTGTGGCATGTTCTTTGTGCTTTGTTTTTAAATAGTTTAACCCTGATATCTTAGACCACTCAATGAGCTCTCTTTAAAAGGGGTGGCAGTGAATGTACACGTGCCCGATGGTGGTTGAATCTAATTCTAAACGGTGGGTCTGTCTGGCCCACATATTGGGAGACCAGCGCTGGATAGGTGGTGCGTCCGAAAAGAGCACCTGGCGGAGAGCCACGAGACAACTCAGCCGTTCGCGTCCAGATGACCAGCCGCTGTGCACCGCGGTGAAAGCCCATGCGTGCGCCACTGCTGTGCTTTTCTTTAGGAACGAACAGCCCAAAAAACTATTGCACCAGTAATATTGCACTGGGTTTAGAAAAATTAACTTTGTCCGAACGCTACTCTTGCCTGAAAAAGCACTAAAAAACGGAGAGAAGCCCTGCAAAAAGGACTACGTCTACGCATAGTGTATCAAAAGGACAGTGCTGTGTCGTGATGGCGACTCCCTCGTCCTGATTTTCTGGTTGCGCTTTGGATTTTGTGTTAAAGCTAATGCAGGCTGACGCCCCCATTGATAAGTTCGTGCTGCGATGATACCTCGCTCCCCACATCTGTAGTAAAACGAAACAAACAAGAACAGAGTAAGTGGTAGCTGCATCAATTTTTTTGTGTGTGGCATCATATGTACGCCCTGTCTGCGGTATGTATGCATGGGAACGTTGATCAAACAAACCACTGTGACAGCATAGCACGTGTGGTGTCCCGCTACTATGCTGAGGGCGCGATAGATTCCCGACCACGGCGGTCGCATTCCGATGGGGGTGAAATATAAAAAGACACTCGTGAACCAAAATATATGTGCTCATTGGAGAAGCCGAAGTGGTCACAATCCTAATACCCTCTCTACAGTGTGCCTCAAAATGATGTCTTGTTTGGCACATGAAAGCCTAGCAAATATCGATGTTACCCCGCCGCGGTGGTCTAGTGGCTAAGCACCGCAACAAACATTTGGTGTTAACTTTCACAAGCAACCCACCGAACACAAAGAAGGTCTTAAAAAAAGCACTTTGACATATTGCAACAGAGCATGCGACTATCCAAAATTTTCACTTCTCCTCCTTGTGTGGTATACGGGCAGCCCAAAAGTATCTAGGTTCATTTAATAAATTCAAAGGTAGGCATAAAACCTCAAATAGGGTGTCGCCCTTTGCAGAAAAGGTTAATGCAAAGTATGCAAATACTTGCAGACAACAACAGTGATGGAAAGCACCCGCTCGGATTTTAGGCACAGAATAAGTGCTGCACGAGATTATGACACAGACATCATATACCTTCTGGAATGTGCGATATGTAACATCATATATGCAATAAATACATGGGCCAGGCAGATACGCTGTTGAGAATGAGATTCAACAAGCATAGGGCACACGTACCTTTGTGGCCAGGCCTTCCACTTTTTAAACTTGGCTCATATAAGGATCACTGCTTTGATGATATTAGGGTTTTACTATTTGAAAACAATTTTCGTACAGTCAGAGAACAGGAACAACTGAGCCTTACTTCATGATAAAAAAACGAAGTAAATCAACACCTAGGCTCCTCATCAGCATGCGCTCTCTTCAATCAGTCCTGAGCCCCTTGCCGTTCATTGCGACAATATTATTACTTGTCACAGCTGTAAGCTTGGGCATGTAACCATATTGCTACGTGAGTAACGAGTCAATATATTGCAAATATATTTACAAAATATATTCGCAAGAGGGGTTACAGCGCTGGCCAGTCTGGCTCTCAGCTCGAGCAGTAGGCGACCTTCATCCTCTACGTCGGCCACACACGCGCATTGACAATATTCATTGCGGCAGCCTACATGTAGCAGAACCCCCATCGGCAAAGGCAAACAATAGCAATGTCAAACAATAGCAATGAAGCCTTAAACTGCCACAATGTACGGTTTACTGTCCTGACATGCTTTTCCTTCTTGTGCCATCGTTTTTTTTTTTATTCGTCTTTCCCTTTCTCTGCTCTTCCCTCCTGTCTTGCTATGAAAAGACAAGGACACATTGTAAATATTTCTATGCCTTGAGAGACTGCGATTCCGTCAAAACGTGGGCATAATAAACAGTTATGTGAAGGTGAATCTAGTTTTATACTTATACATTATGCTGAGCATGGTTGTTTCGTCGGCGTTAAATATTTATTAAAAACAAGCGGAAGTTCGTTCTGGTTTGTGCAGCGCTGGTTGCGGCAAGCCATGTTTGAGACGAGTGAAGATGTTCCGGACGAGGGGGAAGGAGCTGAACTGCCCGTCAGCCCTATGCTTGAGGACAGCATCTCACCTCCACCAGGTAATTATTGAGTGTTCACCAAAATGCTGGCCTCCCACAGGGGCTGCCTTATTCATTTTTAGTTTATGGCTTTCAGAATTGAAACAGGGGTCATTACTGTACCTCTGTGCATTGATGCACTCAGAGGGCGAAAAGTGTTTTAAAGTCAGCAACAGTTCAGTGACCAACGCACCTGTAGCCAGGACAAATGGCTTATCCTGCAAAGGCGTACTAATTACCTAGTACAATCAATTGTCTACAATGTTCCTTCACTTTTCAATAAGTATGAAAACAAAAATATTGATGTTCGAGCCTTAACCTGGAAAGAGATTTGACATCTTTTTTTGGTTCCATTGATCTGTCTCTCTCTCTCTCTCTGTGTGTGTGTGTGTGTGTGTGTGTGTGTGTGTGTGTGTGTGTGTGTGTGTGTGCGTGCGCGCGTGTGAGAGAGAGAGAGAAGTATGTATGCTTACTAAACAATTCCTAAAGTATCACTCACTCTCTTTCTTTTATGGTATTCATTTCTATGGCACTTATATTTAGGGTGTTTGCTTCTAGTTTTATTTATCACATGAAGTTGCATTGTTTTACTGCTTTTTGCTTTTCAGTAACTCTGTCAAGTGACCACTGTTTGACACACTCAATTCTTGAATGTGTTGTTATTAATACAACTGCTGTACACTTATTTACTTTATTTTGTTGTACAATGGGTATAGTGCTGCCATAAGAACCTTCAAGCTGTTTGCAACTGCTTTCTGCCTGAAGGACCCCCAACAAATCATGAAGTCGTGGAATAGTTTTTGCATCTGTGCAACTCTTCTCTTGCTCCTTTTTGTTGACTGGCAAAATGTTTTTTATAGAGGGGTGGGGCTGTTTAGAAAAGCAATTGCTCAAGCGCTTTACATGTTTTTGTCTTTCGGTCGCATGAAAGCCGCTGGAAGTAGGCAACGTGACCAGTGCCAGCCATATGGAATGAACCTGAAACCAATAGAGTTCCGCAATAGAGAAACCAAGGAGTAGTTCTGCTTTCATAGCCTACTGGTAGTTGTGGGGTACACTAGAAACACGATGATGCAAGTTCAAAGGGAGCACGCAAAATATTCGTATCATTCCGAATTCGTGTGAACCAAAACATGTTAAAGCTGATCGTGGAGATGAACGAGAACTTTATTGGAACCAACTACATCTTGCTGAAAGAAGTCCATGATACTTTTGAACATTGCTGCCTTCACCATCTCTCAATAATTGCTTCGGTTTCCTCACTCATGCTGCTGGCTTTAAAGGGGGATGCGGCTTTGGGATCACGAAAAATGGAAAAAAAATTGATTTGTTGAAAATCAAGTTTTCAGTTTGTGGAACCCTTTTTCTATGTGATTCTAAAATATCTACACTGAAAACCGCACAGAAGTGCTTCGGAAAATTCATTTCACCCACCTAGGTAGCGAAACTTTCTCTTGAAATCGCGAGAAAACAGCGATATTAAAAAAATTATGGCTTCGCGATGGCAGGGCCGGGAGCTGGCTTCTTGGGCTCATCGGAAAGAGCATTTTTCTGCGTTTAACTTTCCCGCCTCAGCTGGCTCCTCCCTTTAAAAACAAGCGCACAAAAAGCAAATGTTTAAGGATGGAGGTGGCATTGAAAAAAAACTTCTTTATTTGTTGACCTACAGCAATGAAATTTGGCATGCATACTCACAAGTGTCTTGAATAGGGAAGTATGCAGTTTCATCATGATACCTTCGGTAGTTCTCAAGTTGCATAATGCTACATGGTCCAATTACATGGTCTGCTCGTGGAAAGCCTAGCACTGTAACAAAACATGCCAGGAAGCTGCGAATGGTGTTGATCTTTACTCAAAAGCTTATGGTGACCCCGCTACTAACTGCAGCGGATGATCACCGCGGGTTCACGCTTAGCGAGCCACAGGGCCGCTACTCCGTTTACTCGCATGTAGCGCACCACTCCGCACGCGCTCAACTAATAAGGCGTTTAGCGCGGCACGGCAAATAGACAGTGTTCTAATGCAAAAGTACGCAACACTTTATTGCTTCTGGCAGCACCCCGAACAACAGTACAACATCCGCTCCCGGGACGCGGGTAGCAAAGGCACCCGCACGCGGACGTTCACAATAAGGGGGAAAACCTGCGAGCACGTCGCAGCTGGCAATGGCGAGCTTTGACACGCCGGTCGGGAAAAGGTCCCTCGCGGCTATGCTACGCACTCTCACGATGGCCAATGGGCCTGGTCGCGAGTGTTAGGGCAAACCTCGTATGCGTAGGCCTACGGCAAGTGCGGCTCGTTGTGGTACGACCACTTCAAGCACTAGGCACCGCTCTGGGCTTAGAGTACGCTACCGAAGCCAGCACTCAAGTAAACACGCCTGCCGGGGTGCCCAAGGCCACCCCAGGCAGGCTACAGTCCGCGAGTCCCAAAGGGGACGCGGACGAAGGAAAGCACGGGCTTACCCCGCGCCATCCGCAGAGAAAAGAGCGCTCCCTCGGCGCGCGCGTGCGTACCGCGTGCCGTGCCCGCACGTGGCGCCATCTATTGCCACGTGGTGTTAACAGAGCAGAAAAGCAAAAGGGTGTGGCCGTGTGGCGGAATGCCCGCGAAATGGTCGCGGGCGCGCCTCAGATCCCCACATCCTCCTCTCTTTAATTCACCCTATATACCGGTCTGCAAAGGCAGCCTGTCGTCGCCCATGCATGCAAAGGCGTCATGCAATGGGCAACAGCTAACCTCAGCCTCGCTCTGCAACTGCTGCTGAAGAAAAAAAATAAAAACACAAGAATACACTTGAGAAATACAATGGCTCCGCGGAAGAGGGGTAACGGGAGTTCATGATGCTCACGCAAGAGCGCGTCCACGGCTCGGAGGGGCAACGTCACGTAATGTTTGACTTGGGTGACTTCGTGGATGCGAGAGTGCAAGGCGAAAGTTCTGGTTGAGGCCCTCATGCGAGGAAAGGGCTCACCTTCATCTCGTCGATCTTGACGACAGGCCTGCGAGTCTCACGAACGCCGCCTCGGTGGAGGTTTGGATGGACCTCGCTGCGACAGCCGGCCCTTCTGCTGGAATAATGGTCGCCAAATCCACTGGCTGCGAGAGGCGTCCTGCGGCGTTGGTCGAGTCGTGCACAGCGTCTGCGACAGCTGGCCTCGTGCAGCAGCCGTGATCAGCAGAGCTTATCAGCGACGGTCGGGAGCAGGGCGCAACCGGGCTGCCTAACGACCGCAGGTCTCCGAACACCTCCAGAGTGCAAGGTGGTGTAGGAGTCGGTGACTTCTTAAGTTGTTGCCACACGCACGCACACACGCACACACACCTCCGATAGTCAGGTCTCTCCAAACGCGCACCGCAAAGGAAGCGCAGAGTGTCATTTGTCTCTCTCCCCACGCTAAAGCATCAGTTCACAATCCCCTCCTCCAGCGAGAAGAAAAAAAAGAAAACACGAAAAAAAAAAACATCAAGTAAACAACAACACTCAAATGACAATCAGCAGCAGTAACCGAGCGGAACCGACTTCTTTGCACGCACTGGCTGTAAAGAAGTTAGCTAACTGAGACTAGACAGTATAAATGAGGGCCTTCGGTTGCGAAAATAAGCCCGCCGTCCGGCACGAAATCACCAAGGTGACTGCTTCCTCTGATTATACCGGTGCGTGGTCCGAATGCGGTGCGCCGCGCCTGGTGTGCGCCGTTGCTTGCGCGAAGATCCACTGGGCGCTGGCGCAGGCTCGTCAGACCTCGACGCAAAGGCTTTCAGGTCTGCGATGTGGGCACGGCTGAATTTTCCCGAAAGCGGGTCTTTCAGCAAGGACGCGAGTGGAGTCCAAGCTTTTTCCACTCGGTACGGACCAAGCCACTTTGGAGCGAGCGAAGTTGAGAAACCCTTGCTCGCGTCGCTAAGAGCGTGGTTGCGCTTCAGGACGAGGTCACCCACCTTAAATGAAAGGTGGCGACGTTTTCGGTCGTACTGGGCCTTTTGCTCCGCCCTGGCCGATGCCAAACTTTGCCTCGCTCTACTGAGAGCTCGACAAAGCCTGTCCCGAAGTGTGGAAGCGTAAGAACAGTCTGCCGGTTCTTCCTCGTCTCCGAGCTGGCATTGCATGACACTGGTCACCGGATTTGCCAACTCCCTTCCGAAATTAAGGAAGGCGGGAGAGAAACCAGTAGAGCGACTCTCGGAAGGTTCGGATCGCAAACGCGAGTTCACTCAAATGGTCTGCCCAGTCCCTTTGACTTTCGTCAAAGGCCGCCAACATCGGTTTGAGCGTACGATTGGTTCGCTCCGTCAAATTGGACTGGGGATGGTAGGGCGAAGTGGTGCAGTTATCTATTCCTAGGGAACGGCACGTATCACGAAACACCCGAGCGGTGAAATACGACGCATTGTCCGTGATCAATCTTTTCGGAAAGCCGAACCGACAAAACACTTCCTGTAGCCTCTCTAGCACCGCTCGCGCTGTCACTTTTCGCAGCGGAAACAGCTCCACCCATTTGGAAAAATGATCAACAACTATCATCAGATGTATGAACCCCTGCTTACTCCTGGGGAACGGCCCCATTAGATCGCAGGTGGCTACTTGCCACGGACGCTCACTGACAATCGGTTTCATCAAGCCGGGCGGCTTGCCACCCCTTGATTTCACCGTTTGACAGACGTGGCAGGAACGGCAATAGCGAAAAATGTCACGCTTAATGCCAAGCTAAGTCACAACCTTGCTCAGTTTCGCAAAAACTTTAGAGCCACTCAGGTGACCGGCAATGGGCTCGTCATGAGAGGCTCGCAACAGTTCGCCTCTCAGACTTTTGGGCACAACCACCTTAAACAGGTCCACTGACTCCTCATCGGTGGCTTTGTATTTCAGCAGGAGCCCGTCATGGTCCAGCAAAATGAATCCGCCGGGGACTCAGCGACACACGCTGTTTCAGCCCCCTAATCGCGCCCGCCGCAGAACAAGCAGCGTAACGGCGCTCCGCGCCTCTCAAGATGATTAAACGGCGCCCGCCGCAAAGCAA